CTTGACCGATTCTGTTCTGTTATGTCACATTTGGTTTTACTCTCTTCCAAAAAAGCAATAAGAACTGTGGGAGCAATGTAACCCAAAATGTGTAATAGTCACTGTACAAAAGAGAGGAAAAGAAAGTGCTCTAAACTATATAACTGCATGTATATTTAAATGTATAAGATAGAAAATGATATCGCAGAGTTTTATTGGATCATTGAACGGAACTGTTTGCAGTATCATTGTTGGAATGTCCACTCTACAAGCTTTAATTTTGTGACTTGAACAATTATTTCTAAGATGGCAATATGTAATCCATTAACTAGTGATTTCCTACTGCGCATTTTTTTTCTTCTGTAAATCTGTATAACTTGTACCCCTTCACTGTTTTTTTTCTTTCTTTTCTTTTCTCCTTAAATAAAAATAAATAAATAAATAAATAAATTTTGGGTTTGCAAGAACACAGGGAGGTGCTGTCCAGCGCCACGTTAACCCACACATGGGAAAAACCTGTCCAGAACTATTGTTTTTTTCATACCTCCTTCATCCCATTCTGCCTGTATCCTGAAAATATTTAATTTCATTTACCCTTTGTGTATTTGTTACACAAAGGGCAAGATACATATGCACTTTTGTGCACCTTATTTTCTCCCTTTAATAATATATCTTGGACATCTCGCCATATTATTTGACCAAACTATTCATCATTAGTTATCCAAGCATACTATGCAGAATTCTTTATAATGGCCAGTCACAGTCTTTCTTTGCATCTTTCACCTAAACTAAATCTACATTTTCCTTTTGGTCTGGATTGGAGATCAACACACTGTCCATTCCAGCCAGACTCTGATCAAGACTGGGTCTTCCCGAACAGTCAACTGACTGCTTCACATTTTATAAATGCTTCGAGTTCCTGGTTCGAGATCTGGTTTACGTGTCCATTTTCACATACTGGCAGTTCTTCTCAAAAGTCTTGGATATGTGAGGCCTAGTTCAAAGGATTACGTATCTAGATCTAGGGCACTCCTCCCAGCCTGAGCAATGCAGGAGCTGCTGAGGCTGAACACACATGCAGGGCTGTAGTGTGGCCCTGGCCTGATTGAACTGAGAATGAGGAGACGCCTCACATTGTCCTTAATTAGCACCCTCTGTTACTCTGAGGGCTCGCACCTTGGACCCCTCCCAAGATCCTGCTTAGGTTTCCTGCTTTCCTCCACTCAGCTCCTTGCTTGTTCTGATTAAATACCAGCTGCCTAGCGTTAGTCAGCTGGCTGGCTAGCAGAGTTAGGAGCTCTGCCAAGGATTTCAGTCCTCCTGCAGCCCTGAAGGTCGTGCCTTTTGTCTCATTCCTCTGAGCCTTTGCTGTGCACCCATTTGGGGTATGGGGGATCTAGGTACAAGACCCCAACAGAGCAGGATTTTAAACAGTCTGGAGAGGAAATTTAATCAGTGTCAATTTGCAGATGGAATGGCCTTAAAAGACTGTGCACATACTCTACTCACATGTGAATAGCATGTATTCTCTTCAGTTGATTTTGGAATCCTGAGATCTCTCTTATTTATAGACACCGTGCAATTGAAATATAAGGCCTGTGTTTAAATTTTTAAAACTTATTAAATATATATTGTTGTTAATCTGCCTCAAAATCCTCCCCTCACTTCAAGCATATTCATCCCACGGTTCTTGCCACTTCCCGAAGCAGTTCTAGAAGTTCTCTTTTCTGATTGTCTTCCGAAGGGATGCTCAGAACTGCAGTGAACGCTGCTGCCGAGCACCATCCCACGGAAATGCTCATGAAAACAGTACCACACTCTTCATCCACTGTACTCACCAGATCTGGGCTGCGTGATTGCTGACTCTTCCCAAAGTTAAAATGACCATGGAAGCTCAGTGTTTTGAATCAATCAGGACATTATAACCATCACAGCTCAACTATAGATGACGTTCAGAATGCCTTCATAAAATAGCAAAAATTATGGGATAAGATGTTTAAAACAAGAGGCAATATTTTGAGGGGATTAATGTGTCTTGTACCATAATAATCTTTTAAACTTTAAACATTCACCATATTTATCAGATCTTATATGTACCCATCTATTTCCTTGATTATTTTTTTGTCCCACTAAATTGTTCAAGGTGGACTTGAAAGCACAGCAATCCTCCTGCCTCAACCTCCTGAGGGGCTAGGATCACGGGTGTGTACCACCACACCTGGCCAATCAGCCTCCTTTTAAGCTTGAGCTACTCGGATTTTTTGTTTGTGTTTGTTTGTTTTTGGTTTTCTTGAGACAGAGTCTGACTATATAGGCCAGGCTGGCCTGGAACCCTTAGCAATCCTGCCTCAACTTCCTGAGTACACCATCATGCTTGACTATTTTGTATTTCCTACAACCAAGAAAACCTTGGCTCTGGTGCAGGTATCAAGCAACTACTGAAGGATTTACGTGGGAAAACAGGCTGATGCCTGAAAACAAAACCATGATATTACCAACAGGGACAGGCAGAAAATTAAGTCACCTGGGATGGAGACTAAGGGCAGACGACAGGGAAAGGTGGAGAGCGGAGAGGGATATTAAGGAAGACAACAGAGGCCCGAGTTTTAAAGAAGAAACAGGAAGACCGTGCAAGATTGAACAGTGCCAGCTGGATTTGGTAATTAGGTCAAAAGTATCTTTGTGAGAAGTTTCATTCGAGTGTGGACAAAGATTACTGTGCTTTGAGGCATTCGTGGGAGGTAAGAGATGAGCGGTGAGCATGTTCTCCATCTTTAGGAACCTTCAGAGGACCAGGTGAGGGCTGTGGGATGGCAGCAGCTGGGAGGCTTTTTCTTTTTTAAATGAAAAAGGCCCAGCATATAAATAGGCATTAGGGGAGGGAATACAGAATGGGGAAGACTGATGGAAACCTAAACTTGATAGAATTTCCTGAAAAAAAAGCATAGCAGGCCAGAGGGTTTGCTTTCGATGCCTCTGAGGACAGCCAGGTACAATACTGATGCATAGGACATGGCAGGTATTCTTCCAAGTGCTCTAGACGTATTAGATGAATTAGCACTGGGTAGACATGATGAAGCTGAGCATGAGAAATTGAAGCAATGTACACCCAAAAATCAAAATTATCTCTCCAAATATAAAGATACGGTTATATATACAGAATCTGAAAGAAATGAGGGGGAGGTATAGGGAGTTTAAAAAGTAGTAGCTTGAAGAACAGGAGAGTAAGTTAATCAGAAATATACAACTATTCTAGGATAGTAATTCAATGATCGTGTCACTGTCTCCTAGAAACACTAGTTCTGAGCTGAGAGCCAAACTCTGCGGACCCAAGGCTGGAAGTCCCAAGCAGAGTGGGACAGAAAAATAACAGTTCAAGGAAGCTGCCAGGCCTGGCAGAGGATGATTAATGTTCTGTAGCCTTAGGAGAGACATGAAAGAAAGGTACTCTGATAGACCATGATGGACAGGCAAGAAGAAAGTAAGACAGCAGGATAGAAACACATATCCAGAATTGACTGTTTCTCATCCCACTCCTGAGTGATAAAGGCAGCAGCGTGCACAGTATAACTGTCAGCATCAAGCTCAGGGTTCTTCCCATGTAGCAGTCCTCTGGCAGGTTAGACCCTGTTTCCCAGGGCCCCACCCACTGACCAGAACCTCTGGTGACATATAAGAGTTGGATAGACACATCTTGGGCCTTGCCCCAAAACTACTGAATCACAACCTGCTTCTGAACAGCATTTCCAAATACTTCACATCCATATTAAATTGAAGCACGAGGGTAGACAGGGGAGGATGTGGAAATGCCCTTGACTTGTGGTAACATCGCTGATGAAATGCTAAGGGGAAGAGGCAGATGTTTGGTCTGTGGTAATCTTGCGCATGCAGATTCAATATATCCGCCTTTTATTTGTAATTTAAGTCCTTCCATCACGATTTATAATTCTCCAAACTGGTAATTCCACACCCCACCCTGGGCACTCTTTTGTAGGTGCAATATGTCAAAATCCTGTGTATCTCTTTATCACATTTATCTCTACACACTGTGCTTATCAAAAACACGCTCCTCCTGATAATCCAGTCATGCTGGTGTTATTGCACAAATTTAACACACTCTACTCCGATCAGCGTATAAGTCAACGCTATCAAGTGAACTCACCGCCACACTGGGGAACGTCACACATAACACACCTTAAATACACGTTATTTAAAAATTACCCATAACCCCCAATCTGCTGTCCTGGACCTTCCAAATTTATTTCCATATGTAAAAGGAGTCTGCCTCTGCCTTTCTCTATTTCTTTCTGCATCTATAGCCCATATCTAGCAGCCATCTCTTATTTGTTTAGATTCACACGTTAGAGTTACACTTGTAATGAATATCTTGACTTCCAAGATCATTTCATCTCCCTTTGACGGTTTCTCAGTGCGAAACTCAAGGTGTTGCACAAGGCAAGCCATTAAGCTTCCCGTTAGTTTTAAGATGTTTTGATTTCGAGTATGTGAGCCAAACTTTCTTGGCAGAGAAAAATACAGCGAAAAATCGGTGCAAGTGAAATGAAACGCACTGCGTGCCAAAGCCATTCAAGGAGGTTCTGCAGCTAGCGACCCGCGCACGCACGAGCATCTGAGGCCGGGTTAGCCCCAACGACGCCGTGCCTTGCCCCCGACCTCGGTGTTTTCAAGCTGCTGCGCGGGCCAGTGGTTTCGATCCTTTTTACCCCCCTCCTTCGTGCAAAAGTGAACCGGGACCCTGGGCAACGGTCGCGAATTTTCGAGAGCAAAGTCCCGTCCAGCAGCTATGCCAGGACCGGATCGCCCTTCCTGCCCCTCCCCGCCCCGCCCACTCCCGTCCAGCGCACTCCGCTCTCTTGCGCCCGGCCGACGCCACTAACCCTGTCCCCGGGAGTCGCCCGCCAGAGACCCCCCAACCCCGGGAAGCCTGGGCGCAGGCGCAATGAGGGCGGGCGCGCGGCGGGGGTGGGGGCTGGTCGGCTTTGCGCAGGCGCCCGCTACTCGGCTCCGCTCGGCCAGACTCGTCTCGGCTCGTGTCGGTCCGGCTGCCCTCGACTGAGCTCGGCTCGCGAGCCGGTAGCCGGGTGATTTTTCTGCTCGCGGAGCGAGAGCGCGGGCCCCGCGGCGGCGGCGCTGACGGGAGCACCATGTTCCTTCGCTCCGTCAGCCTCGGGAACCTGGCGTTCTACGTCTTCATGGTCTTTCTGGCCACCCTGGGGTTGTGGGACGTGTTCTTCGGCTTCGAGGAGAACAAGTGCAGCATGAGTTACATGTTTGAGTACCCCGAGTACCAGGTGAGGGTCCGCCGGCGCCCGGGCGCCGGACGCGATCCCGGAGCCGGGTTGTGGGTCCCCGCCTGGCCCCGCGCCTGCCTCGGTTTCCCCGGGGGAGGCGGCTCCTGGGCGCGCCCTCCGCCCTGGCAGCCCGTCTCCGGGCTGGTCCCCGCCGCGCCCCAGAGCTCCCGGCCCGGCCGGCCGTCCCTCCGGCGGGGTGCCGGCCCCGGTGGGCTCCGCGGAGCGGGCTGGGCGGGCGGCGCGCGGGTGCGGGCGGCCTGGGGAGTCCCGGGGCGGGGGCGCGAGGTCCGCCCGTGCCGTGGACTCCGTCCGCGCCCTGGATTGCACACCTGTGCATGCTGCTGCCCTGCGGCCAGTACTTTACCAGTCGCACTGGAAATCGCCCCGTTACCTTTTCCCACCGCGTTACAGTTGAGAGTGACCTGGCCCCTTCCTCCCCCGTCCCTTCGCCACCGCTCGCTTTCAAGGGCTTTCAGTCAACCTCTTCATTAGTTCGGCTAGTCGAATTTCGGATATCCATTGATGGCCCGCTGTGAAAAGATAGTGACAGATGATACCACTGTCCAGAGAAATTGCTCCCAAGTGATGCGTTTACCTGTGAGTGCATCTCAGTGATGAAACACCTAGTTCAATAACTTGTATAAAATGCGTGTGTACCTCATACAGTGCACATTGATAAAGTGCATTTTTAGAGTACAGCAATTAAAACTACGGCAGATTTTTTTTAAATTTTAAAACTGGCAGATTTTTTTATTTTAAAACTACGGCAGATTTTTTTTTTAATTTTAAAACTACGGGCAGATTTTTTTTTTTTTATAATGAAGGAGCCAAGTCAGTGCTTCCATGTACCTGTCATTATGAAGGGAGAATATTACTTAATCACAGTTATTAATTAGGTCTTAAAGCTACCCAAGATTTTAATTGCTGAAAAACAGCTGTTTCCTATGGGGAAAATTCTGGTAAATTTAGATTTCATTCATTTGGAAAGACCCTGTACTTGGTTTTTCATAACAGTGGTTATGAGGGAGTGGGAACATTGTGTTTTAGATGCCATTGAAGAGAACATTTCGACCTGTTACTGCTGTCTGAATTTCTAAGCAAATGGACTGGAATACGCTGGCTTGTGCTTATCAGAATCTAATGGTTAAATACATGAGCTTTTATTTTTTTAACTAGAAATAAAGCTTATAAGCCTCTTGCATTGCCGGTGCTTTAATAATTATGAAGCTCCCAATAGATTGCAGTAGGCCAGTGGTTTGTACTGCATTGAAGACTTGGGTTAAAGGCATTTTGGAACAATACAGTGCTAATGCCCATTTATTTTTAGACTACCCACTGTTACCGAGACTTGTAATATTTGCAGTTGTAGAAATTGTTTTCCTCAGTGTTGGCAGTAAAGCATATGGGGCTCACGATGAATTTCCTGCCTCATAAAATGACTAGAAAGACAAAATTAATGTAGCTAATTCAAAAGAGCTATTTAGCTTGTTTGTTGAGTAGTGTGTGTTAATTATTTTGGTTCGCATTGCTTTCTTGGGCTTTTATACTTCTGTAAAATTTGTTAGTACAGTACTAATTACTGTGGCAGACGTTTTTGATACACATTTTGAGCAGATTTTATTTTTATGATGTAAAATGCTGTTAATTCACCATACATAGTGTTTGTATTTGACTCTTAGAGTTTGTATTGCAAAGTCTTTTAGAAATACAATAAAACCTGCCTGTAGAAGTGGGTCATTTTGAATGTGGTTTCTGAGAATTTTAGATAAATGAGGTCACTTTTATATAAATAAAAATGTTCTAAAGATATTTTATACATTGCCCACTTTTAATTTAATTACATTTCATCCGGCTTTCCAAGTCTTCTCAGGTTGCTGTGCAGCAAGGCACCTGCCCTGGTCATTGGCTCACTTCTCTTTCTGAGTGTTTTTCTTCTCTGCTTTCTGCTTCTTTGCATCCCTTAGCTAGCCGGGCCAGGAAATGGAAAAGCAGTTGAGACACACTGCAGTGTAGTCTCCATTTTTTAAAGATTGTTTGGGAATTTGAATCTATGTTTTTAAAAAATGAAGTTTTTAATTTAAAATTGATTCTGTGCTACTTGTGGCTTTCTTTGACTCACCTGTTCAGAATTAAGTGAACGTTTCATGAATATATCTTAAGTCTGTCAACGAAGACACATGTTATTCTTTAAAGCTTCTCGCCTTGTTACACAGCAAGGCAAAATTTTTAGTTGGCAGTACCCTGTTTCGGGCAAATTGTAGATTTTGAGGAGAGAGACCTGAGTTGTTTTCTGTCACAGAAATTTGACTCTACTCATATGAGTGACCTAATGTTCTCTGAAAGGAAATGTTGGTACTGAAAATATTAAACATACTTTGTTGGTAAGGATGATGTTTATTTAGTAAATCTTTTTTTTTTTTTTTTTTTTTTTGGTCTTTTTCAGACACCTTCATTATGCAATTCAGGCTGGCCTTGAACTCATTTTGTAGCTCAGGCTGGCCACAAATTTGCAATGATCCTCCTACCTCAGCCTCCCCAGTGATGAGATTATAGGTGTATACCACTATATCTGACCTAGCAAGTCATTTGTTGAAAGAGTGCTTTGTGCCAGATATTTAGTATGAATTAGTATTAAATCAGTAGAGAATTAGTGTACCTTGAATTTGTAATAACAGTCAGGGAGACAGGAATGGTGTATATAGTCACAGTTTAATGTGGTGCATGTTACGATTTTACTATGAGAGAGAATGTGTGGGGCTCTTTACAGAAGGATCCAAGTTTGTGGCATGTATTCAAAGGCTGTGCAGAAGAGTAATGAATTTGGCCATACAAAATGTATACATAGTTCATAAAGTACAGAAACAAAATTGTAGCCATAGGTAGCATAAGGGAAGGTAGGTAGCCCCTCGGACACGTGCATGAGCAGTGTTTATATTACCACTAATGTAAAAAGGGAATCAGGCTCTCTAGTCATGTCTGCTTGTATGAATGTAACATGTTTCTGGAAGCACTCAAGCTGGGCACATTGGCTGCCTTCTCAGGCAGGAGAAGGGAATGGCTGAAGAACCAGGAATAGGAGAGATCCCTTTCTTTTGAATCTTAAATATTAAAATATGCAAGAATAAACTTTTTTTTTTTTTTTTTTTTGAGAGAGAGAGAGAGTCTCATGCAGTTCAGGTTGGCCTTGAGCTTACTTTATAGCCCAGGTGAGTCTGGAACTCACAATGATCCTCCTATTTCAGACTCCCAAATGCTGCGATTACAGGCATGTGTCACACATCCTGCTAAGAATAAACTTTAAAACATAGCATGTGTAAATTATAAAAGAGGTAAAAATAGATTTTAAAGGATTCCTCTCTGTCAAGCCTTTAATATGTACACATATAGTGAGAAAACACAGAGGGTGTGTGCTTTAATGAGCTTTCTCTTGAAAGCAACTAGACTAGGGGAGGCTGAAGTCCTTAGGACTGTTCTAGGGAAGGTGTAAGCGGAGCCCCTTGTAAGAACTGTGAAACTAGCCAAGTGTGATGACACACATCTGTAATCCCAGCACTTGGGAGGCTGAGGCAGGAGGATTGTTGCAAATTTGAGACCAGCTATGCATTTGTAGAGATCCAAAACTAACTTTCTTTCTTTTTTTTTGTTAATTGTGGAAATTGAACTTTTTGCAGTTTGAATTCACAATTAAAAGGTATAAAAATTTTAGTTTCTTAAAACATTTTTCTGAGGGGCTGGGGATTTAGCTCAGCGGCATAAGCACCTGCCTTGCAAGCAGGCAGTCGTGAGTTCGATCCCTGGTACCAATAAAAAAAAAAAAAAAAAAAAAAAAGTTTTTCTGGCTTTCAGAATTTGCTGAATTTTTGTGTCTTTTGAAAGGGTTAGAGATGAGTGAAAGAAGGACAGATAGTGGGAGCAAGGTCATAGAACTAGTATTTAAGGGTAAAGGTAATTGAGCTTAAAGGTCATTTTGGGGTGAGGGCTTGCTCTTTAAATTACCTATGTAATAACCAGTTTATGTTGTAGTCTTGCTACTGCAGAGGGCAGCTCAACCACAGTAGCTGGGAAGCAGAAGGAAAACGAGTTGCTGGGGACATGACTACATCCTTCCTTCCCGATCATGTCCTCAGTGACCACCTCCTCTGACCAGGCTTCCCACAGCACACCCACCTAGGAAGTCCTGATTGGATGAATCCACTGATCCAATCACCATTCAAAAAGCCCACTCTGGCCACTTGAGACTTTAGACCTTTTAGACAAATGCTGTGATAAATATATTATAGTTAATGTATATAAGTAATAAAACTTCCCTTTATTTTTAACATTGCAACATTTAAAAATGAGAGCAATATAAACAAAACTCATGGGATATTTGTGGTGTCTATAGAGTGGAATGTCAGTTTGATTGGCTTTGGGATTCACTGGGGGATTGGTGAAACATTGTTCTGAGTGAATCTGGAGGATTCGTGGAGGTGTGACTTTGGGGTCTGTCTGTGACCCCGGGCCCCCTTCCTCTCTGGTGCTTTTCCGCTTAATTCCCAGCTGCCATAAACTAAGCAGTTTTGTTCCACTGTGTTACTCCATCATGTTTCGGCCTCGGAGCCAGCCCACCATGGACTGAATCCTTTAAAACATGAGCCAAATTTAATTTCTCCTCCTTTACCCTCGAGAATTAAACTTGGGTGTAGCAGACCCATCCCTTACTTTCCTACTGCAATTTGGTTTTCGTTGTTTTGTAAATCCCAAATGGCTAACATAATATTTCTTATTATCTTTGAAAGAACTGCTCATGCCATTGGATATAAGAAAATCAAACAAAGGGGCTGGGGATTTAGCTCAGCGGCATAAGCACCTGCCTTGCAAGCAAGCAGTCGTGAGTTCGATCCCCGGTACCGGTAAAAACAAAAAAGACAAAAAAAAAAAAATCAAACAAGACAACATAGAATAAAACGTAACCAAACAAAGCAATGAAAATGATACAGGACTTCAAAACAAGATAATAG